GCGGGACAAAATTCTGAGAAAAAAAAATGGCTACTTGTTTTTGAGAACATGGCATGAGGTGTAATGTGTTACTGAAAGAAAATGAAGGTCTTTAATCAGGTGAAGTTGACCTTATTGGAATATAGTTTATTTATTTTCAAGGCGTAACGTGTCTGAGTCATTATTTTTGCTCTAAATGAGGACGAAGTACGAGACAACAAACCATGAGACATTTTGCAGGTTAACCATAAAGTTCAGTCTATAGTGTGCACTGTGCAAAAAAAATAAACATTTCTAAAATAAAATAAATAGAGTATTAGACTTGGAATGAGCAGGACTTGGAGAGGAATCCAATCCTACTTCTGACTGGGCTCTTTGACAAGTAATGTTAATAACAGTCACTTAATACGGAAGCTCTGACTTTAGGGCCCCCTGACCTGTGTCTGGTGGGCCCATTTATCAAACACACAACTACATACACACATCCTGATCAGAAGTGAATTAGCCTATTATGACTTCATTTTAATTCATGCTGATCAAAAGTAATTTTGCAGAATATTTATTATTGTTCTGTGATGCTAATAAGACATGAATCAGTTAGTCAATAGACAAAACAATAACTGGCAATATAAGTCATTTATAAAGCCGAAATGCCAAATATTCTCTGGTTTCAGCTTGTCAAATGTGGGGATTTGCTGCTTTCCTCCATAGCGCTAAATCAACAGATTTAGAGATGACCATGCATCCCTCCAGCCCAAGAAAGCAAACTCTTACTGTCTGCCAGCCAAGTCTTCACCACGACTGACTTAAACAGAACAAAGCAAAATCTGTACACAATAACACAATAACGAAGTGTACATATTATTATTGACACAAATTTAGGAACTGGTATGAAACTACCGGTATGCAGCCTGATCTACAACAGGTTGGTTTTGGTTTGTGGGAAAAGGAGCCACTCACGAGTGAAGTGGTTTGTTTTGGTGCAGGGACATGTTTGAATGTCTCTGCATTTAAGAAGAGGTGTGTAGAGCTTACATACAGAGCTGTGTTGCTATGAGCATGTCAGTGAGTATACAGTCTATGGTAAAAAAGTGGAAAGCATCACTGATGTCTGACAGGAAGCAGCACGTGAAGCTGGGAAAACATGTCTCTGATTCCATGACCATCCGTACCGGTTCCCCTCAAGGCTGAGTTCTTTCCCCCCTTCCCTTCCCCCTGTACACCAACAGCTGCACCTCCAGTCACCAGTCTGTCAAGCTCCTGAAGTTTGTGGATGACACCTCATCTCAGGTGGGGATGAGTCCGCCTACAGGTGGGACATCGACCATCTGGTGACCTGGTGCAGCCAGAACAGTCTGGAGCTCAATGCTCTGAAGACCGTGGAGATGGTCGTGGACTTCAGAAAGAGCACAGCCCCACCCTCCCCCATCATCCTGTGTGACACCCCAGTCACCACTGTGGACTCCTTCCGCTTCCTGGGCACCATCATCTCCCAGGACCTCAAGTGGGAGCTGAACATCACCTCCATCACCAAGAAGGCCCAGCAGAGGATGTACTTCCTGCGGCAGCTGAAGAAGTTCACAATGATGGTGCACTTCTACACCGCCATCATTGAGTCCATCCTTACCTCCACCATCACCATCTGGTATGCTGCTGCCACTGCCAGGGACAAGGGCAGGCTGCAGCGTATCATTCGCTCTGCAGAGAAGGTGGTTTGCTGCAATCTTCCTCCTCTTCTGGACCTGTACGCCTCGAGGACTCTGAGGCGAGCAGGAAAGATTGCAGCTGACTCCTCCCACCCCGGACACAAACTGTTTCAGACTCTCCCGTCTGGCAGGAGGCTGCGGTCCATCAGGACCAAAACCTCTCGCCACAAACACAGTTTCTTCCCGTCTGCCTCATTAACAAGGTCTGGGTCCCCTACTGACACTCCCCCCTTGCAAATGAAACAAATGTCTCTGCACATGTAAATAATGTTTCATCTCGCACATTTTTGTTGTTGATTGTTGATCTTTGTAGTTTATATATTTAAATGTAAACAATATTCTCTTCCGTTGCGTTACTTCTGCACAGCACAAACCCAGAATAATGCACATGTCTATATCTACAACATTGTTCTTCCATTCCATATTTATATATTTCTACATTTATTTATGTTGACTGTATGTTTGTCTACGTGTTGTACCTTATTACCACAGCAAATTCCTCGTATGTGTAAAACACTACTTGGCAATAAAGCTCCTTCTGATTCTGATCTCTAATAGGAGCATACGCTGTTTACACACACTGTGTCACAATAACTCAATTAGCTGTACATAAAATTAACATTGTTTTATCTTTGTTCTTTTAATGTGTAAATATTTCAGGTAATAGCAAATCCAATGTCCATACGGCCATCTTCTGGGGTTATTATCTCCTTGAGTGTGTTCACGCCCTCAGGTCCATAGAGGAAGTCATGTAGGCCCACATTACTTTGGGCCTCAGAAAGCTACTTGGCTACTAACATGTCATTTGCCTTTTTAATACTACAATGGGTAGATTATAACAAATTAACTAATCGATTCCTTCATAACTTTTGCGCTTGTGTTTTTGGTTCAGCATAATGCAGTAACAAAACTCAACAGGGCAAACAGGAGCAGACCAGAAAACAAGTTGGTTACGCATTAAAATATGATCAAATATACTAATCAAACAGAGGGAATTAGAAATAAAAGGCCTGTCTCTAATACAAGTCTGCTTCAAATAAAGGCCTGGTACCTTCTGCAGTTGAGGTGAATAAAGAATAAAGAAAATATCATTTGTTTTTCTTCTGGGAGACCGGGTATGGTTGTCATATTTCACCAATTAGAGATAAGATAGGACTTCATTCAGTATTTAGCTGCTTCCTCCCTGATCAGGCATGGTGGTTATCAAGTCTGGAAAGAGGTGCATTCAGAATATATAGAGAAAAAAATGATTTTGAGGTAAGAAAGTAAATTTTTTGACCAAGACCATATTTTGTTTAATATCTATACTATTGCAGATAGAATTGTTTGACTTATATTAGATTGAAAAGTAGTTTCTTAGGCAACATGTGATGCATTTTTTCCTTTCTAATTTCAAACCACTATGGTAATACAGCTAACTAAACAATCGCTGACAGGGGTGGGGTGGGTTGTAACACTTCTTTAAAAAGTGTTACAACCATCCATTTTACATTAAACTAGGTACTTTCTTGATTTTAATATTTTCCAGATTGCCTTATGCAGTCTGGGCCCACCAAACCCGCACTCCAGGGTTACCAGCATTAATTTGTCAGCACTGTGTCCAGTACTCCCCATTCACATGTCACTCGACCTTTTCCATTCTCGGTCTCCACTGGTGGAGAGGGTAGAAAAGTGTATGGGCAGCTTGTGAGAAGTGCCTGTGTGCAAGAAAAATTCCCGATACGCCAAAGAGTAAAATATAGAAGTGCCGGTATGCGTACCGGTGAATACCGGCCCACTTCAAGCACTGACTGTGACTCTGAATAAGAATATACACACATTGACACACACACATACACCTCTTTTTAGTTAGACCTAAAGCTGTACAGAGATGTTCTTTACTTAATTACATTGTAGTAGTAGTTATTAAGTATACTTTTAAGTAAGTTTATTCTGTAGATAAATTTACATACACATACTGTACATGTGTGAGTCATCAGACATAGGCTGTTACAGCAAGAGAGAAACATTGATCTTTTATATAACTACCTGTTTTGGAAGCATTTCATATAGTGTGGCATCTATTTTTGATTCTTTTGTGTGATTGTTACAACCTACCCCGCTATTGGGGAACACATTGCATTTGACATCAACTCACAAGGTCTGTGATATTCTTGTAGAGTACTGAATTGGTGCTATTTGTAGTGAACAAATGTGGGTATTTTGTATAACAATTTGAGAACTCTAGCTAAAAAAATCAGTGAGTTCTAATTACTACTGGTACTTAACCAAACCCGGTCTCCTATAACACGTTCTGTATTCATGTAAGATTGTCTGGAGCCTTATCGCAAGTCTCTCTCCAGTTTCACTAGAAATAACATCACATTTGGATTTATAAAAAAGGTACATTTTATCCCCCAGGGCGGCACGGTGGTCCAGTGGATGGCGCTGTGGCCTCACAGCAAGAAGGTCGCGGGTTCCCTGGTTGCCACAGCCTTTCTGTGTGGAGTTTGCATGGATTCTCACCGGGTGCTCTGGCTTCCTCCCAAGTTGATTGGTGACCCTAAATTGTCCTTAGGTGTGAGTGTGAGTGTGACTGGTTGCTTGTCTATGTGTGGCCCTGCGATGGATTGTCAACCTGTACCCCGCCTTTTGCCCGATGTCAGCTGGGATTGGATCCAGCCCCCCGCGACCCTGTACGCAGGATAAGCTGTTGACGACGGATGGATGGTAAATTTTATCCACAGATTTAGCCAAGATTTATGAAAACACAGTCTTTATATACTATCTTCAAAAAAAGAATTTGCATTTTACTACAACTCCCTGTTGTTTATGGAGAAGAAAGCACCAAAAGACTGCTTAATTTTATTGTTGCCTTAAAATGAACTGAAGCCATGTAACCACTGTTTTGTTTCTTTTTGTTTTTTTTGTTTCACTTTCTTTATAATTAACATTATCTGTTATCTTGTGTGCTTTGTCTCATTTATTTATTCTTTCATTCATTCATTCTTTCTTATATTTCTGCATTTATTTATTTATTCTTTTATTCATTCATTCTTTCTTGCATATATTTCCACATTTATTTATTCTTTTATTCATTTATTGATTCTTCTGGCACTTTGGGAGTTCCATATAGTTTCCATATATTGTAAGCCCCAATGTCGTTGTGACTCTTCCCTATGCCATATATTATTGTACAATTTTTAAAAAGAACAAAAAATGTATTATTATTATTAAAATGATTGCGTCATTTTGGTGCCTGTATTTTGAAAGTATTCACCGGAAGTGTAAATATCCCCCTACTACTGCTGCGGCTTTTGAGTCACACTGCGCAGATGCGGATGTCATCCGGTTGAATGTCGTTGCTGGTGGTTAACCCGCAGTCAACCTGTGCGAAAGACATGCGGAATATCCGTTAATGTTCATAAGAGTGGCTATTTAGCTAGTTCATTCCGTAAGAATAGTCATTAGTTGGTTAAATACCACCACGGGCTTCTGTTGAAGACGACTGAAGTCCATCTCTGCTTGGAGTTTTATCAAATATCGGCGGAACAGCGGAAGAAGGTAACTAAGCTAACGCGTGCAGCCGCCATTGTTTATGAGCAGGCGGAGAGGAAGGGCTTCGGCTAATTCCTGGGTACAACTACTTACATATACGCTGCAAACGCATATTGTGTATTTATTTTGAATTGTTATCTGTGCAAAGGTTTAATTGTTGTTTATTAAAATGCTTAGGGAGCAAGAATGGACAGACTCGGGGATGTTCTTGGCTGTGACGTTAAGTTAATGTTACATAAATTAGACTGATCCCGCGCATGTCGTTTAATTCAACATTGTGTCCTCAGTTCGTATCAGATAACTTAATCGCGATGAATGAATAATGGAGAGTTAATAAACTTCTAATTGTTTCTTCTCAACAAAACTTGCCCGGTTAATAAATAACCAACTCTATCGGGTCTTTATATAACCACTTAATGAGGTTGGTTATCCAAATATTATAAATTAATCGTGTTTGAATTTATTTGACACAGCTGATTTGCGCTGAGAAAATAGCCAACAGGACGAGATTTATTGTGGATTTAAAGAGACCTGAGGATATTTGGCGCGCTAGCAGGCGCCTGCTGAGCTACCAAACGACATGTTTTAAAGCTCTTCTTCCGGTGTTTCTGGAACAGCCTCCACCAGCTCCAGAGATTAAGGTGTGTTAGTGACACCGAGCTTCGACTTGAGGGCACGGAAAGGATTTCTCCCCCAATATGAACCATAAAACCTGCAAATCTGCAGCATAGTTGTATCTGTGGACTAAAATCGCTTTTGACAAAAGGATCTGCCGAATAAATGCAATGTTTATTGGGTTAAAGGTGGCAAACCATCTTCTGTTGTTGTAACCAATAGTTATTTTCATAATTGATTGATCTGCATATTTTCTCAAATAATAAAAGAATCATTTAGTCTATTAAATATATCAAATGTGCCGAATATAGGCTGGTTTTATCTGTCCGAATACCAAAAGATTTCAGTTTCCCTTAATGATTTTAGAGAAATTTTCTGATGATGAATTGATTGATGAACTAATTGTTTCACTTCTACTCTATGTAGCCACCATGTCTCCTTCTCCCAGCAGGAAAGGAGATATGTCCTACTATTCATCCTCCCGTAGTTCGTCTCGGGCTACCGACTGTAAAGTGTACGTGGGTGACTTGGGCAACGGTGCTGCCAAAGGGGAGCTGGAGCGAGCGTTCAGTTATTATGGCCCGCTGAGAACCGTCTGGGTGGCCAGGAACCCGCCTGGGTTTGCCTTTGTGGAGTTTGAGGATCCCAGAGATGCAGAAGATGCTGTGAAAGGAATGGATGGAAAGTGAGTAGTAAAATGTTCCTGTAATATTTCAGTAGTCTTTTTGTTTTGACATTTCTTGAAAACAAAAATGACCCACTACTAACAATGTTCATAATGTATCCATGTATGTTTGTGTTTACGTATGTGTTGCCTTGTAACAAACAAATTAGACATTGTTAAATTTTTGGGGAATGAAGAAGAACATCTAAATTTGGTCTATTTAATCATTGCTGTCTGAATCGCGACCATTTCAGGAATTAAAATGGTCTCTATTACAACCTTCCTTCTCCTTAGGGTCCTTTGTGGTTCCCGTGTTCGTGTGGAAATGTCAACAGGCATGTCACGAAAGGGCCGTGGTCGCCCCAGCCGACGCCAGTTTGACCCCAATGATCGGTGTTACCAGTGTGGGGACCGGGGCCACTATGCCTATGACTGCTACCGCTTCAGCAAGAGAGGAGGCCGTCGCAGCAGGTGAAGGAATACAGTCCACTTTGCATGTGGTTGTGGCTAATGTGATGCATTTTTTTTTTCTCAATGCACAAGATTTTGACTTTGAGGCTATGATGCTGAAGAATATAAACTTATTTCTTCTTACATTCCAGGTCTCGCTCGCATTCTCGTTCTCGCTCCAGGTCCAGGTCCCGAGGTCACCGCTATCGATCTCGCTCCCGCAGCCGAAGCCACAGCCGGTAGGTCTTCACCGAAACAGAGACACAACTCAGGAAATATTGACAGGAAATTCTTGTTTTGGTGGGTTGTCTGTGAAGACGACACGCAATCTAGAATAGGAAGTCTATATTTAGTAATGCAAGTATGCGGGTGCCATAGAAAAGTATGACTCATCCAAAAAGAACAAGGGAACTTGCTGTGTATTGTGTGCAGTCAGTTTAGCGGCCGTGTTTCAGGGTTTTGAGAGTTAACTCGTTGCTCACATAAATTTGCTCAGTGGTTTTGGTTTAAATTTTGGGTGCTTCAAAAACAATATTCATCTGAGCCTGATTGTACAGGTGTGACCTGCATGTAATATCATCCAACCTCAGCAAATCAACCCAGGAGTGAATTGATAACTCACTTTGCAAAGAAGAATGAAAGCTGGTCCCTTTTTAAAATCTGGTTTAAAAACTGTAATTGCGCAAGAGTTTATAAACATGCATACAGTTGTTTTAATCTTTTCTCTTTTCTCAGGAGCCGTCGCCGATCTCCATCCTATTCCAGACGCAGGAGCAGGTAAGCTTGTTGGAACAGCAATGAACTGTTACAGTGATATATGAGAAAGGTGTAGCTGCTCTATATCAGGGTTGTTAATCCAGTTCTGCAGCAGAATCTGTCAGAGCAGGAGAGGTGATTGAAACCTCCCTCGGGGCTACATGTGTAGTATTGTGGGGGGGGGGGGTTGTTTTTGTTTTTTAAGCCTTACTCTTGTTAAAGCCTCAAGTGCTGCCCTTCCCACTACAGCTGTAATTAAACTCACTTTATTTCCTGTAACATTAGGTCTGGCTCCCCAGCTCGTTCAAAGTCCAGGACTCCAGTGAGAAGGTAGGTTGTGTAAGCCGCAGGTTTCAAATCATAATTAACACAGCTTTTATCTGGAACAAACTGTTGAACTCATCGTAAACCTTCCCGTCCTGGCAACAAGATTGTAGAGTGAGACATGCCAAGTCAAATAGTTTTTTGGCTGTGTGATATAAAAAATGATTGCTGCTGGTGTGTTGTGTTGGTTTGCCTTTTCATTTGTTTAGCTCCTGTCCTCATGGGGTTAGCACCACAAAAAGCAGGGAACCAGCTTATTAATTTAGCTATTCACAACTTTCAGTAGTGACTTGTAACTTAGGTTAGAATTATGCTTCTCCCGGCAGCATGTAAGGGAACATACACAGACATTTGTGCAAAGTCAAAGTAGTTAGTGAACGGGAAGAAAGCAAATGTAAAGAAAACATAATAAACTGACATCAGTTTCACCCCAGTGACAATGTAAACAAACTAGTTTATCCGTGTAACACATGTTGAATTTATCAACGTAAATGGATATGATGGGGATAAGTTTACTCTGCTCTGCTATAAGATCACTTTTGGCAGTACTATGCTAACATGTACGGCAAAACCCTGAAAAGAAAATGTCAGATCAACCATTCAGCTTGCTTGACGGGCAGGTCAGCACTCCACGTTGAGAAGTGAGGTGTGCAATTCTGCTCCTCCGCGGGCCTCTGCAGCCCACGATCACCCATAATATCCTTCTACGCTTAGGTTTGCAAAGATGTTTATATGCATCTCAGCATAATTCCAGCTTTATCTTTCAAAAGTGTAGCATGTAAATGTTTTCTTTTCTCCAGTCGCTCCAGGTCTAGGTCTCGGTCTGGCTCTGCGCCCAGAAGACGCTCTGCCTCCCGATCCCGCTCGCGAACTCCGTCAGCCAACCACAAGAGGAACAGGTAAACCCTCATTTTAGATGTCTCGTTCACCAAAACAGGTTGTAGACTGTATTAATTTATAGTGATTAATCCTGCCAGTTGTCAGTGTTTTACCAAGACATTCTAGACGAATGTAACACCTCAGTAGGAAGAGACTCCGATAAGGTCTAGATCAATCATTATAGATTTTAGATATGACAGTTCAGACTATAACTATCTTGCGTTCCAGGACAGGGTCAGTCTTGTTCTTCTCGTTAGCCAAAGCTAGGTGCTCCATCCTAGGCAGGGAATGTCTGTTAAACAGACCCTCCTTCCACCCGGGGAGCGTCATGCTGCCAACCTAACGACCGCCACATGACGGTGAGATGGACGACCACTGAGACCGCTCTACCTCCTTGACACAGAGAGATCTGCATCTTCTGCTTCTGCTGTTGACCAGTAGTGGAGTGGGTGGGGTAGAGAACAGTGACATAGGCCCACTGTCTGGCATAGGGAAGTATAAGTAGACGAAGGATTCGACCTCTCTCTTGTGCTCTCTTTTTCAGCTCTTGATAGCTCTGCACTGTGTAACCTCGGCTCTTAATTGCCCCCACTTGATTGTGAAAAGAGAGCACATGGAAGACTGTCTCCCCTCAGCCGTTAAACTGTTTATACTCATTGTAGCTAAAAGCAGTGAGATGCAGCTATATCCTCTGTACTCTTGCTTTCCATTGATCTCAGCCACCCTAGATGTAGCTGAATTCTAAATAAATGAATTTAGTCTGACAGAGCAAGAGAGACATTTTTATTCACTGAATTGACAAGTTAAGTAAAGATAGCCACAGGTAGCATTGTAAATGGGTTTTATCTTCTTAAAATTTAGTCCCCTATCCTGAATTTGGCTAGATCAAGAGAACTCTTCAGGAAAATACTAGCTGAGATCAGACGAAACAACACCATTGGTGTGACTTACGTTAAGCATCTTTGCAGCACAGTTTTGTTTATTTTTCATATTTTCTTTAAAGCGTGTGGTGGGAGCTGATCACTGCACTGACACCACAGCTGATCCCAGGCCCAGGGTCTGCCAGCTGGCGGTGTGTACGTCCTGCGGGAGGGTGACTAAGCGCTGACCTGAGATCAGCCTTCGCCTGCATCTGGTGTTAGACAGCGAGAAAGAGGTCGACCTACCGACCGAACCCTCCCCACAGTGAATGGGTGACCGTCTGTTCAACCGACGCACACGCTCAGACGAGATCAGCCCATGCGCACATAGAGTTGTTCTACTAGAGCCAGCCAGCCAGCCAGCCTTCAGATCTACCAGAGGGCTGACCCACACAGATCAGAGTTCAACCACTACCTTTTTAAATCCATTACCTACCTACCAGACCCCCTACCTACCAGAGTTCTTCGGCCTCTGTCTTAGCTTCTGAAAGTGAGAGAAAGAGAGCTGACGAGAGATCAGTCTTCAAGAGCCTCCCAGCGCAGTGTCTCTCCAAGTTGTAGTCATCCGTCCTTCAGTCCTTTCATCCTTCGCTTCTCTGTACTTGTTGTTTCTGCCACTGTCTCCAAAGGTAACCAAAAATCAAACCCCCTGACAAGCTCTCATATTCATGGTGAAAGAAAAATGCACAGGTTTGATGTAGTCTGTGAAAACTGGTAATTTTAGCGCTAAAGTTGAGCCTTTTTTTTAACAAGCATGCTCAGAGTACAAATGAATTGGTGCATGTGAGAGTGTGTGGATGACTGAGTGAATGAAAAAGAATGAATTTTAATGGGCTGATATCTCTGAGGAGGCTTTGTCAGATATGTTTTTCTTCTTGTGCCATACATGTTGCAACATTACCATTTTAAGCTGCCTTACCATTATAGTGTTCATTTTAGTAATCAAACTCGGTACACTAATGAAATAATAACGATGACTCTCAAATGTGCACTTCTTTGCATCTGGCATGTTAGATCTCCTTCCCCATCTAACATGCTAGAGGCTGTTCACCTTGGAGACCTGCTGCAGATATGGGTTTAGAAAAGTTTCCATTAGTCCTAAATTCCTTGTCAAAAGCAAAAACTGCTGTAGTTGCAAGTGAGGCGATGACGACAAAACGTTTCAAGGACTTTTCATTTATTAAAATGGGTGTTTGTTTGCCCTGGGGGGGGGGTATGTATTTAGCTGTGGACCGTGGACTTAAATATCTCAAATACATAGATTGGTTGCCTTAGATGAATAAAAGAAAAAAATAATCTGTAGTTTTTGAGATTAACCTTGGTCAAAGAGAGATTCAGACAGTTGAGAAATTTCAGCACCCATCCAGTCATGAACTTTCACAATTAAGATGATGAGTAATAGGGGATTTTCCGTCCTCCCCTGTGGCGAGCTAACTCCTCTCTGTTTCTGTTTCAGTCGTTCCCGTTCAGCAAGTCCAAACCGAAGTGCTACGCCAGCAGATGACTGAATGAAGAAGACTATTAGTCCCCACCCCCCCTACCGCTCTGCTTAACAGACAGACCCTCAACCCCTGCACCCTGTTGCTTTTACAGTCCTACAGCAGCTGTCTTTTGTCTAGTCCCAGTCTTTTTTTTAAGTTGAATTTTCTTCCCAGGACTGTAGTCTTCGTGCATCAGACATAAATCAGTTTCCATTTGATAGAGATTGTATTAAATGTTGCTGCTGCAGAGGTTATCTTTGTTCTCAACGTCTTGTAACAAGTGTAAAAAAAAAGCATACATTAAATTGCGGTGGAAAATTGCAGTTGATGCTTGAGGGTGAGGACATTGCATTGAAAAACTGCTTTTATTCCTTAAGGTCAAATTCAGAACCTTTAAAATATTATTCCCTATTGAGAATTGGCAAATTATTATTCTTTTCCCTCCAATTTGATTTTTGAGTTCAATTTCTGTTTTCCGCTCATGGTGGCATAAGGAAACAGTAGCTGGCCTGCATGCCTTTAAATCTGATGTCACATTCCTACTGTTTGTTGTTTTGTTTTGTGCTGCACTGCCCTTTTTACGAACCTGATCAGCTTCACTGTGTGCTGAATAGATTTTCCCCGTGTGTTGATTTGTTCTTGTGACTTCTGATTTTAAAATATACACAGAGCTTCAGTTTGATTTTGCTGCTCTAACAGTTTTGATCAGTTCCTTATGTGGTAAGATGGTGACAGTTTTATTTTTGAATAAACCTCTTCAACATACCTCAGTGGTCTTATTTTATTTCTCTTTTTTTTTTTTTTTTGTACATTTGTTTTGCTGTACAACATTTGGTTTGTTGGAAGTTTTAGACAAGTGATTTATTGCCTTGATTTCTATTTCTATTATTTATATTCCTTAATACCTTGATAGGCAAAGTGAGCATTTGGTATAAAGAATTTTCCCCTCTGGGATCAATAAAATATCTGATTGAATTTGTTAAGATGTCTGAAAGATAACTGCAGTTCTTAATTACAGATTATTATTATTTTTTTGTATATAAGTGATGTAACACTGGATCCATATGCCAGTGCTTTTACTGTATTGTGCATTTCTTAAAAATATACTATACATATATATGTACATGTTTGTCTTTTGTGACCGATTAACTGCTACAACATAAAAATATAAACACCCTGAAAATTATGGCGGAATAGTCAAAGTAATTAAAAATACTGATAATATATCATTAAAATAATTAAGACACTTGTATAGTTTGTAAATTATCACATTCTTCAGGTGCTTTGTGTATGTTGTTGGAAAACGACATTTAATACCGCGAGTTAAAGCCTGTTCTTCTATTGGCCGTTCCTCAAGTCAGAAATAGACTGACAGCTGCCTGAGCCTATCACAGCACGCGGTGCCGTTGTGCTGGGCGTGGACACGGGAGCCTCGTTTTTCTTGACTTTTCCGTCCATTTCAGTTGATCGTCACTACCACCATCCTTTTTAACCGGGACAACATGGCTACTGCAGCGAGCCGTTACTACAGCGAAGACGGCAGGGCAACGAAAAGACAGAAAACCGACGGAATGGCAACGGTGAGTTGTGTTTTTGTGTGTGTGCGAGCCGCGCTGGAGATTATTTTAACTTACATAACAAGCGAAGTAACAGCGTTATTCGTAGAATTTGATTCATTCAGATTTAGCGTCTGGAAAAAGGTGTCACGACGCCTCACGTTACCGTTCATCTTTGTGTGACGGGTGTCGCGCATAACTCTTATATTATATGAGCTGGTGTTGTATATTAGACGTGTGAGGCTAACGAGGACGCATCTCCAAACATTATCCGTGCTTGTACCTGTGTTGTGGAGTCTGAATGGGATCATTTGAGGGCGGTTTCTCCAGTTGGGCCTTGCCTCAATCCGGCTTTGTTCTAGTACCGGTAACGTTAGCAGGATGCTAGCCGTGAGCTAACCTTACACATTGTAATGAGGGCCAGCATCGAGTCTGCTGCTGTTTTTGTGTGGGGTTATATTTTAGTCTTATTATATATGCAAGATTGATTAAACTAAATATTTATTTAAATTTGGTGCGTGTTCAATCAAACATTAAAACGACACACAACGGCAATTAGCTAAGCCTCAATTGCACCGAGTGACCTCCAGTTTAATTAACGTTAGTGTTTTTGTTTTTAAAGCAAGCATGACATAAATACTGAAGAAAGAATACGTGACAGAATCTGTAGGCTGATTTTCTCTGTTTGTTGTTTCTATAAAAGAAAAGTTATACTGTGCAAAGGTTAAAAAGATATCTTGCACCTATTCCTTTTTTATTTTGTTTTGTTTATATAGCTTGGACAGTGTGGTCTTTGATGAATAGGAAAAAATACATGTGTATATTTTCATCTATTTTCCCTGGCCAGATGTTAAAAAGAAAAGAACAAATTGGCAAATCTTTTGAGAAATGTATATACACAACATATTAAATACACACAGTACATAACATGTGTAAGTGTTTACTGGCAAATGTAAAGTTTAATACTTTGCATGCTAAATATTTTTTATTGCAGGAAATTACATAAGATTGCAACAGAGAACAGAATCAGGAAAACGTAAAGAGATCAAAAACGTAAAACTAGGACTGGGAAAACTCATAAAGGATATTGACAAGAATGTGCAAAATGTACAATCTTGTTCCACTTGCGCAAGTAGTTTTACATAAGAACATGTTGGCTAATTTTATGCTTGTTTTGTTTTTTCAAAATAGGGATACGAAGATCCACACAAGACCCTTCCTTCTGTGGTGGTGCACGTCCGGGGGCTCGTGGATGGTGTCACAGAGGCTGACCTTGTGGAGGCTTTACAAGAATTTGGAGCAATCAGGTAAGAGGAAGACAGCAGCTTCATTTGAGTGGAAAAATATGTAAAAGGGAAACAAGAAGCGTGTCTTTTCCCCAATGAGGATTAACAACAATATGTTGTCCATTACCTGGTTTTAAACAGCCCAAGGTTAGGTGCACGGCAGGTTTAGTTCCTGCAAGATAGGAAAGTTAGAGTAAAATTTTAACAAGCAATTAGGTGCAAATGTAGTCTGGTTTGAGTTCACATCATCTAACCCTTTCATTGCTTTTGTTTTTAGCTATGTGGTTGTGATGCCCAAGAAGCGTCAGGCCCTGGTTGAGTATGAAGACATGAACGGATCATCCACAGCCGTAACATATGCTGCAGACAACCAAGTTTACATCGCTGGCCACCCAGCCTTTATCAACTACTCCACTAGCCAGAAGATCTCCAGGCCGGGAGACTCTGATGACTCTAGAAGTGTTAACAATGTTCTTCTGCTCACCATCATGAACCCCATCTACCCCATCACCACGGTAAATGCAAAGATTTGGGCCACTGTGTGTCTCTTGACTAGAATTGTGGCGTAGGTACCAGTCATTCTACGGTGATGAGGTTTTATAATTCACACAAAACAGTGGCGCTACAGAGCTGTTGCTCAAACTGCAGTGAGCTGAAATGAGTTAGTAATATTAAACTTGGCGCAATAACTGTAAATGATGTGCAAGTGCTTCCACAGAAATATGAGCCCACTTAACCAAATGATGGCCCAAAAGTACAATTTTGGAAAAGCCCTGCCCCTCCTATTATAACGTGAAATAAGTAATATCAATATAACTTTTTGAATTTCCACTATCCACACCAATTTTGATCTGAACATTAAAATTTTTGAGCATTTTTCTATTACAAATGAGAGGTCATCCAGTGCTGCCATGCTTTCAATATTTGCTGGTTCCAGCTTTTCTGTTGAGGATTTGCTGCTTGTCTCTGGTTTATAATGCGGTCCATCTTAGGGGATTATTTGATATGATTCATTTAGTCTATAAAATGTCTGAAAACAGTGAAAAGTGTCTCTCCTGAGTCTAAGGTCACGTCTTCACATGTCTTCTTTTGTCCAACCAACAGTCCAAAACATAAACGTATTTAAATTACAATTATTTAAAATGGAGGAGGAAAAGATAATCGACAATTAAAAACTTTGTTAGTTGCTGCCCTAAACTTACCCTAAAAGTACTTGTGGATATTAAGTTTCTGTGAACATTAGTTTATTGTCAGACTTTTCTGAGATCGAACTGTGAGATTCATATAGATTCCTACTCATACTTGAAACTAAATGACAACTTCTTTCTATCTCTATTCATCTCGTTTGCATGTTGAACTGAGATTACATTTACATATACCGCAATGTTGTTGTGCTTACCTTAATTTATCATTTGCATCAGACTCTGTGTAGTATGTAAATATATTTTGAACTTTTGTCACAGGATGTCCTCTACACTATCTGCAACAACTGTGGCCCCGTCCAGAGAATCGTTATCTTCAGGAAGAATGGCGTCCAGGCAATGGTTGAATATCCTTTTCCATGAGTGCTATCTGACACGGAGTCGCAATCTGATTGTTGATTGCAGTGTGTTGATTACTAGTGTATTTCCACAGCATGGCAAAATATGTTTAAACACTGAATGAACAGACTGGTATGTGAGGTCAGATTTAATCGCCTGTGCCCCGGTATAAACAAACCTCTTAAGACACAATGTTCTGAAACATGTAGATGTATTTCACAGATGCAAATGATTAAACCCTGGTAGTCAAAATAAATGTGCGGTGGATGGCTTAATGTTGGCTGCCAATTATAAGGAAGCATACACAGATCCAAAAGTATTTTGCGCGTACTGGGTACTGATGTGCTCAAAGGTTTTTGTAGTTGAAATGTTATCTCTGTGGAATTGCATAGGAACCAGGAACAACATAGCTGTATGCAGGCATTTTGTTCCTGGTTTTGGTGGCATGTTTATTTGTATGGCACATTTTAAGGCAATTCATAAAACATTACGTTAACCTGGCACTTGTGTATTATGTATTGTACTTAACCCCGTCATTACATTTGACTCTGTGCAAAGCGCCCAGCGGGCCAAGGCATCACTCAACGGAGCAGATATATACTCTGGCTGCTGCACCCTGAAGATCGAGTATGCTAAGGTATTCTTGCAAAACATGGCACAGTCGATGTTCAAACAAACCTGACGTATGAATAGCTGTACATTTATTGTCAGGCAGTTTAACTCTTTGCTTATATTCATATAAATTGTGTTTCCTCAGCCCACTCGCCTGAATGTGTTCAAGAATGACCAAGACACCTGGGACTACACAAACCCCAATCTGGGAGGCCCAGGTAAAACCTTAAACACCCGAACACTTTCCCGAAGCACCACACATGCTTTGTAGCGTAGAAGCCTGGTACTGTGAAGCACCTTTACTGCCACTGTGAGGAGTTTCAGCAAGCTACTGGGAATATGGAGGCAGCACCTTCATTTATAATGCTACTAATAAATGCTATATACATTTAAGTTATTATTAAATAGATGCATTTGAAATTGTATCCAGTGTACTAATACAGTATTTTGGAAAGAACTTGTGTGGCATTATGACTGACTTGTTGCTTACCCCAACACTTGTCAATATATCCTATGGTCAGGGTGTAGGAGTGAAAAGTTATGGAAAATCAGGGGCATGATGTGATAATATTCATCTTAGATAGCTCCTAACAATTCAACCATAAAAATAGCGGGTATTGATTATTTTAGCATGAGATCAGAAATGTAAAATAAATGCTGAAAACTATAAATATTGGAAAAAGAAATATTTTAAAGCTAAATATGTTAAATGCTGTGTGGTGGGGATGGCAGGAACACATTTGCAGACAGAAAGGTGACATTACTCCCAAG